TCTCAACTAGGCGAACACTCCTCGATTCTGCACTACGAGGTCCACTCAACAGGAAGAAAATTACAATTACCGAAAGAGCTAAAGCGATGCTTGATCGTGCCATGGCTCCGAAAAAATCGAAGTGGGCGAACATGCAGGAAAAAAATGTTCGAAGTGACTTGTTTGTGTGATTGATCGTATCGTGGAAGACAAGGGTGAGGCGAAGTATTTGTACTTCGTGAGCTCGCACATTATAGAGGGTACAATCCCCCTTCTTGTATCCCTCTCTCTTCTATTCCAAGACCCCTCTTTTCTCGCATAACTTTTCTCTCCTTCCTAAACCTCTCGCCATTCCATGGCTTCTCTTCCTAGCGAGCTACTTTGACATGGCATCAAAGCAGATTGCTCTTCCTGGGCTTGCTTATCACATTTCCGCCGCGCACTCCTCCTCTCTCTCTCGCTCTGCCATGGCGGCCGCGTCGTGCTACTGTGGTGGCGTCGTCGTGCCGCTGGCCACGTCATGCTGCCGCGGCCGTCTCGCCGCACTGCCATGGCGTCGCGGTGTCGGGGCGTCGACGTCAAGCCGTGGCGGCGTCGTTGACAGCGGCGGGGCCAACTGGCGACAATTTACCTAGACGGACCACGTTCGCCAATTGCCAGTTGAGGCTTCACGCGTTTCGCGAATTGCAAAACCCACCAACCAACATTCTCGCTGGGCACACCGCCAGAATGTGAAGATATCGGCTGGTGCTTGAAGATTTGCCGACCAGAACCCACCAACCAGAATGAGTTAACGACGATGGATGAAACCCCCTAAACGTCACATCTGCCAGCGACTCCTGACGGCCGACTTCCGAAGAATTTTGGAAAAGTTGACTTGCAAATTTCCACCAGAAACTAGAGTAAAAACCTGCGTGCTAAGTAATCCAACAGTGTAAAAGAGGATGGCTGTCAATCAGTATAGAACTCCGAACAAAGTAAGGTACATGCACGGGTTTAAGCCATGCGCAGTTCGATGAGCTCTATTGTTAAATTATATATAATTGATAGCTGTAGTGTTACAACTTACGTAAGTACATCCCCTCCCCCCCCTCCTCCTCTCCTCCACCTCCCCCCACCCCCCCCCTCATCCCCCCTCCTCCTACTAGCATTCTCTTATGTTGACATCTATGGCTACGAGGGGGATTTGTGCTATGGCCACCATGCGGATTTCAATGGCCCGAAAGACAGACCAGTTGTGTGTTAGAATGCAAGAATAATTGACTAGTGGGAGATTACAGTATATATAGCAGTTGGGGTTGTACTCACTAGGAGCACACATCTACACTAGCCTATAACTTCTACATGCAACACATGTATAAGTTGACACACCCCCTAGGCTAGAGGAGGGGTGGTGCTAAGTAAGAAGCACATAGCTTAGGGCGGCACTACTAGTCCAACCACTAAGACAGGGGTCCAGAGACCAGTCAACAAGAGTACAGACAAGACAAGAGCAAGCCAGGGCGGCACTACTAGTCCAGCCACTGGAGAAAAGCCACAAGGCCAGTCAGACAGGTATATATAGTAAGGAGTACACAATCAAGGTCCTAGCAAGTGAGTAGCTACAGGAACAAGACCAAGCTGTACACAGTGCCGCTGATGATCTTTAGGTGCAAGCGCCTTAGTAAAGATATCAGCTGTGTTGGCACCTGAGGCCAAGTGAACTACGCGGGCCTGGCGACGCTGCTGTAGCTCGCGCAGGAGGAAGTACCGCAGCTAGATATGCTTCGCCCTGCCCTCAAGTCGAGGCTCCTAACACAGGAGAATCATGGCCCTGTTGTCAGCGTACAGGACCGGGGCAGAGCTAGGCCGCTCACCTAAGTTAGTGAGCAAGAAGGTCAGCCAGCGGAGCTCCTGTGCCGCCATGGCACCGGCGTAGATCTCAGCCTCACAGCTGGATTGAGCCACAGACGACGAGCGAGTAGACCGCCACGAGATGGCACCGGACCCAAGGCTAAAGCACTAGCCCTGAGACGACCTGAGAGTCCCAGCGTCGTCTGCCCAGGAAGCGTCTGTGTGCCCAGTAAGGACCACTGGTCTGCGTCCACCAAGCACTAACCCCATGCCCGATGTACTTGCGAGATATCGCAAAACCCTCTTAGCTGCCGACCAGTGCTGAGGTCGGTGTCTGCCAGTGGCCACAAAGCGAGCCAGGATGCTGAGAGGGTATGCGAGATCTGGACGAGTGCAAGTCATCAGGTACATGAGGCAACCCACGAGCTCTGCGTAGGGGCCGCTCGGCTCTACTGGCTCCTCAGGAACGGGAGCCGAGAGCCCATGGTCTACATGTAGAGGTGTGGGCTGTGCCGAAGAGAACTGAAGGCCAAACCTTTGAAGGACCTGACGCACCAAGTGTGACTGAGTCAGAGTGATGGTGCGTGCAGCTCTGTCCCTGGAGATCTGCAGGCCAAGATAGCGACGCAGCTCTCCTAGGTCAGTGCAGGTGTGTCTCTTCAGCAGCTTGGCCTTCACAGAGGCCAGTGCGTCCCTGTCAGCAGTAGCGAAGACCAGGTCGTCTACGTAAACGAGGATGTAGAACCGAGTCTGGCCGAAACGAACGAAAAGTGAAGGGTCAGCGGAGGACAGGAAGAACTGTAGGTCTGCTAGCGTGGCACGCAGCGTGTCGTGCCACTCGCGGGGAGCCTGGCGCAGGCCGTAAACCGGGCGCCTGAGAAGCCACTGGGTCCCAGGAGGGAAGGTACCAGTGAAGCCTGTGGTCAGCGCATGTAGACCTGCTCATGTAGGCTGCCCTGAAGAAAGGCAGTAGAGAACTCGAGTGAGTGGAGCTCGTAGTCGCGGTGTGCTGCCATGTGTAGCAGCGCCCGAAGAGTAGACATCTTCGGGGTCGGAGCGAAGGTCTGAAAGAAGTCCACCCCCTCGCACTGGCTGAAGCCTCTAGCCACGTAACGCGCCTTGAAGACAGGCGGCTCTCCGGGGGGACGCTTCACCTTGAAGAGCCACCGACTGTCGACTACGTTCACCCCAGGCGGGGGAACTGTGTGGACGTAAGTGCCGGTGGACCTCCAAGATGCCATGTCCTGCTCCATGGCAGCTATGCACTGAGAGGCCCAGGGTCTCAAGGTGGCCTCAGTATAGGTGCGAGGGGTCGGGATGTCAAAGGCGTCAGGGTCACCCTCAGGGACTAGGAGCATGGAGTAGAGATGGGGAGCAGCCTCGGAAAGGAAAACAAGCTCGTACTGCCTGTCCTCTAGAACGTCAATGCCAAGGGCAGGTGCACCCCCGACGGACGGAGGACGGGCAGGGTCAGAGACCAGAGCGGTGGCGCAATCAAGGCGGCGGGTAGAGGCGAAATCAGCAACAGCAGCGACAAGCGCACCAAGGCACGAGACAGGAACAGACGGGTCTGTAACGAGAGAAGCAAGAACCCGAGGAACAAGGGGACGAGCGGACGAAGGTAATCAGACAGCGGGGGAGGTGCAACAACCAGGGACGACGGAGGAGGCGACAGGAGGAGGGAAGGACGAGACGAGTGGGAACGGAGCAACGTAGGGTGAGAGCGCAGGACAGGAGAGACGGGACGAGCACGAGAGGGACGGCGAGACCAGACGTGGGACGGAGGTGTAGGGTCAGGGGACAGCGAAGGAGTCACAGGGGGGGAACGAGGAAGAAGACGGGTCGGAGACGAGTCCGGCGGAGGGAACACAGGACCTTAGACGGGAAGCAGAGGAGGCGACTAGGAAGGCACCGGCGAACGGTCAGGGGAGGGAAGGCCGAGCAGGCGAAGAGCGGAGACCGGCGGCGACGACTGTGACTGCGGCTGCTGCTCCTCGACGCCAACCCCCGGACCAGCTGTGACACAGCGACCGCCAGCAGGAACCTCCACGGCAGCACCCCCAGAACCAGCACCCCCAGAGCGAGAACTCCCTCCAGCCACGCGGGCACCCTCAGAGGCCACGAGCGGCAGCGGCGGCGAGGACGGCAGCTGAGGGGAAGACACCGGGGAAGGGGGACGCGTAGGGGACGGGCCAGCGCGACCGCCAGAGTCAGCAGTCTCCTCAGCGGGGACAACCGACGGGAGGGGAGTGACGTGGGAGACACCAGACGGGGCAGGACGAGGCGGGAGGGGAGTAGGGACTACCGAAGGAGAGAGAGTCAGGAACAAGGGAGGGGAAACCGGGAGACCGCGGTGGGGGAAGCGACGGTAGAAGGAGACAGACTCGTCAAAGGTGACGTCACGCGACTGAAGAAAGTGGTGCGACTGCGGGTGGTAAAAGTGCCAGTCAGACGAATCAAGGGGGAAACCAAGGAAGACACAGGGGAGGGTGCGGGTTGTAAGCTTGTCCGCGCCAGGGCCACGAACGTCAGCAAGGCAGCCCCAGACGTGGAACGCAGACGCGTCACCGAAGGACCAAGTCCAAAGGAGGGTCGGCGAAACCTGCGGCCGCTAGGAGCGCGGCCACAGGTAAAGCTGGTGAGCAGCGTAACGAACGGCGAACGGCCACAGAAACTGGGGGGCATCGGCATGAATCATGGAGGTACGAGCCACCTCCATGACCAAAACGATGCGACGCTCAGCAACCCCATTCTGCTGTGGTAAGTCTGGAAGGGTGTAGGACTGGGTGATACCCTCCGCACGACAGAAACGACCAAGGACACCAGAGGCAAACTCGCCACCTCGGTCGGAGTGGAGGCGCAAGACAGGGAGACCGCGGCGGACACGTGCAGCTACAACCCACAGGATAAGAACGTCAGGCACGTTGGCCTTCCGCTCCAAGGGGAACACAAGAAAGTAGCGCTCGCCGCGCGGGCCGGGGACGGGGGCCGGACCCCACACGTCCAGGTGCAGGGTCTGAAGGGGAGCAGTAGCAAGACGAAGGGTGGAGGAGTTAGGAGCACGGCGAAGCCGGCCCTCGACACAAGGCGTGCACGGTGGCGCAGGCGAGGGGGGGAGGGCTGGGAGGGACGCAGGGAGACCTAAGACACAAGTTGACATTGTGTGCCACGAGTAAACCAAGTCTTGCAAAGAACCCACTGCTCTCTTGAGTGGGGGTGGGGATAGTACATTCCCCATGCTTGCCGAGAGCTAAGAATGGGAGATGTACGGTTATATACAGTGTAGCTATTACCCAGGCTGCTACAATTCTACCTTTTTGCTCCTGCTGCTTCTTCTGCCCCTGATGAATGAGCTGTGCTTGCTCTGGTTAAACTTGCTTTTGAATGAGTCTAGAGTCTACATGGCTTTTGAGGCGCCTCAAAATGAGTCTAGAGTCTACATGGCAGCACAGTGGTTGCACTCTACTGCGCACAACAATGGCTCCTGCTGCTCCTGCACCTGCTGTTTCTGCTTCTCTGGCTGCATTTGCGCCTGAATTAGTCTAGACCCGCAGCACAGCCGCACCGCCAAACCAGCAGCCATGATTTGCAAACTGCTGCTGCTGCTGCAATAGTCGCTTCTGCTGCTCCTGTTACTGCTGCTGCTGCTGCTGCTCTTGCTGCTGCTGATCTGACTGCGCTTGTTCTTGATTAATCTGCTCTGCAGCACAGCTGGCACCACCACGCAAGTAGCAGTTGTCGCGATCTCAAGCACCCTGGGTACCCAGTGGCCCGTATGTCTGCATGGTGCGTGCAATCTACTGCTGCAGTAATACTGGCTCCTACTGCTGCTGCTGTTGCTGCTGGTCTTGCTGGTGCTGCTGCTGCTGCTGGTGCTGCTGGTGCTGCTGGTGCTGCTGCTGCTGCTGCTGCTGCTGCTGTTGTTGCTGCTCAGGTTCCGCCTGTTGTTGAATTAGCCTGCTTGGCAGCACAGCCGGCACCACAACACCAGCGGCCGTGGTGGCAATCTCCGGCACTCGCGGCACCCACTGGTCCGGAACCATCACAAAGTACGTCTGCATGGCCTTCCGGAACCTTTTCTTGTAATGCGACGGGGATATCACTGTGGGGGTGGAGTCCTTCCCCGCCCCGCCACCCCCCAGCAGGCCGGACGCCTTGACCCACGTCTCGAGCTGCTTGTCCCACGTATAGGGGCGGATGAAATCGATGATCCCCACCACCAGGGTGGACCGCTCCTCCTCCACGCCCACCAGGAGAGAGTAGTCCATGATGTCGTGCTTCTGGGGATGGGGGATAGGGGATAGGGGAACGGGGAGCGCAGGGTAGGCAGGTGGGAAGGGGTGGGAATGGTACGAATGAGGGATGATGGACAAGGCAATGATCTCACGACAAAAGGGTGGAATGAGTGGGAATGGGTGGGAACGATACGAATGAAGGACGAGGGACAAGGCAATGACTCTCATGACACTTCCCTGGCCACAGAAGAAGTAACCAATGATTGCAGTGTGACTGACATGGGGAACGGCAGCAGGTGGGAAGGGACGAGGACAGCGCCCCCCCTTTTCCCCCTCCCTCCCTCCCTCCCTCCCTCCTTCCCTCCCTCCCTCCCTCCCTCCCTCCCTCCCTCCCTCCCTCCCTCCCTCCCTCCCTCCCTCCCTCCCTCCCTCCCCCCCTCCTCCCCCATCGTCTCACCGCCAGGAACGCAGTGTCGTTCCACACGGCGCGCTCCAGCAGCTGCTTGGAGCGCTTCCCCACGAATATGGGCGACGTGGGCATGGCCTCCAGAAGGTTCTCGTCCAGCAGCACCTGGGGGGAATGAGTGAAAAGAGTGGGGGCGGGCAGGGGGGGGTTGGGCGGGGTTTCTTTGACACAGCTTCCCCACTGATATGGGCTGTGTGGCCATGGCCTCGAGGAGGTTCTCGTCCAGCAGGACCTGGTGGCAGGGGGGGAGGGGGGAAGGGGAGGAGGAGTGGGGGAGAGAGAAGGGGAGGAGGAGCGCAGGGAAGATGCTGCTTCCCTTTGAGAACTCTTGTTTCTTTTGGGTCAAGTGATCTACTTCATACTGCTTCCTTCACAGCCATGAGTAACGATGCTGTGATTGGGTGGAGGTCACCCAATCATAACATGACGCCTCATGCTCTTTTCTCTAGGAGGTTCTCTCTTCCCACAGCAGCTGATGCCAGGGGGAGAGGCGGGTAGGGAGAGGGGAAGGAAGGGAGGGAGGGAGGGAAGCGGGGTAGGAGAAAGGGAGGGAGGACGACAAGGAGTGAGGGAGGGGGCAGCGGAGCAACACGAGTGCAAGGGGTACGAACATGCGCATGTGATAAATGAGAAGAAAGCAGCCCCTCCGCATAACACAAACACCATCTGTGTACAACTCATATCAGCCATTCCCTACCCTGCTCTTGGACCGGTCGGCGTTGTATCTGGAGCGACGAGAGCCCTTGAGATCGTAGAGCTTGGTAATCCGACGGCTGTAGAGCAAGTTCTCCATCACCATCACGTCCATAGTCACCCCCTTGGCTGTCACCTGCATGCAACCAACAAGAAAGTTTCAGAAGTACAAAAGAAATATATATGTATATAAAATAAAACCTTCTTGGATACCATCTACAAAACAGAGCAGTTGAGGGATCATCCTCAGTCAACCAATTCATAATCCCCCCCAAAAAAAACCTTCGTAGTCTGTAAATTGCTCACCATTTCATTGCTGCCCAACACAATTCCACGATAAGCAAAAGAAACAAGCCGATCACATCGCACAACACCCTTCGTCCCCTCACCGGATACAGTCCCAGGATTATGGCTGGGGACCTTCAAGAGAAAAAAAAACAAGTCTACACCCCCTCACCTGATACAGTCCCAGGATTTTGGCGAGGCACGAGGGGTTTCCAGATTCAAAGGCGTCGAAGAGGTGCTTGAAATAGTCGTTGGCGAAGTCAAGGAACGCCAGGATCTCCTTGCGTTGCACCTTATAACGGGGATAAGGGAACAGAGGGAGGGACAGATTTTTTAGAATTCTAAAAAATCTTTCACATGGACTTCAACTCCCTTGCGTTGCACCTAATACTGGGGTGGGGGAACAGAGGGAGGGACAGATATTCAATTCGAGGGGAAATCAATTTTCTGAAATCTGGGGAAAGGTAGAGTTGTGGACAAGGCAGGAGGTTGTGAAGGGAGACCGAGGTAACGAGGCCCCTCCTTCCCCCCACCACCCTCTGTCAGCACTCCAACCATTGGGAACCGACCTGTTTCATGACGAAGCGGACGTCTGCAGTCTTGGCGAAGTACACCGAGCTCTTGCCGCCCTCCGCATTCCACAATTGGGATAAGGGTTTAGGGTCCAGGGTTCAGGGTTCAGGTGACACACCTGCTTGATGACGAAGCGGTCGTCCGCTGTCTTGGCGAAATACACCGAGCTCTTGCCGCCCTCGGCACTCCAGCGCTTGCAGCGGCACAGCGACCGCACGAACTCCAAGTCGCCACTCCCGTCCATCAACCCCTCCCCTGCTGCTGCCCCTTCCCCTGTATCAGCCGCAGCAGATTGCTGGGCAGTGGTCGGGGGCGGGGGAAAGGGCGAGCAGCACTTGCGGCGGAGCGCGTCGAACTGCTTGGCGAAGTAAGCTGTCACTTGGAAGGATGCAGCACCAGTGCCACCAGCACCACCCGCACCCCCACGGCGGCGACTGGCGATGGGCGTAGAGGCACCACTGTTCATGCCACTGCTCATGCCGCCGCTGCCACTGCTCATGCCGCCGCTGCCACTGCTGCCGGTGATACTACTGGTGCCGCCGGTGGTGGTGGTGGTGGAGAGGGGAGGGGAGAGGAAGGGCAGGGAGGGGAAGGGCAGGGGGTCGTCTCCGCCCACTGTGAAGGCCACCTTCACGTGCCGCTTCTCCCGAGACAGCAGCGGGTCCTCACGAGAGGGCACTGGTTCCTGCTGTGGTGCTGGTGGCTCTGGCTGTGCTTGGGGCGGGTCCTGACGGGACGGTGGCGGTTCCTCTTGTGCTCGTAACAATTCTTGTTGTGGCTGTGTTGGCTCTGGCTGTGCCGGCTGCGCACGGCATGGCAGCGCTTCCTGCTGTGCTTGTGCTGGCTCTGCCTGTGCTTGTAACGAGTCTGGCTGTGCAGGTAGCGCTTCTTGTTGTGATTCTAGTGATGTATCTTGCTGTGCTTGTAACGGTTCATGCTGCAAGGAGGATACATGCTGCTGATCTTGCTGCAACAAGGGACAACCATCCTCCGGCTCACAAACAGTCTCGTCCTTCCTGGAGTCCACACACCTGCCTCCTCCTCCACCACCAGCACCGCTGGTAGCAGCACCAGCACCAGCACCAGCACCACCACCATCACCGCCACTTTCAGCCATCCCTTGAGGGGGCACCCCTTGTGTCGTTCCCTCAGCGTCAGCACCAGCAGCAGCAGCAGCAATGCCAGCCTCAACACAAACAGCATCACCTTCTGCCCTTGCCGGGGTCCCTGCACTGCATCCCAGCCCACCGCCCTCTGCTCTCTCACTACCTCCGGTGCCGGCCTGCCTTCTCTTTCTCTCCAATTCATCCTGTCTACCTCCACCTCTACCTCCACCTCCACCATCACCTCCACCATCACCTCTACCGCCTTCCCCATCGGCTCGTCTACAAGCCTCGATCATGTCATCGCCAGCACCGCCCACACTACCGTTGGATGATGTACCAGCAGCTGCTGCAGCAGCACTCTCTGCTCTGTAGAAGAGAGTGCTCTTGTTTCTTTCACCAACATTATCTGTAGAAGCAGCTTGTGACCCTCTGCTGCTATTCCTCGCACAATCACAAGCAGCCGCTGCCGTGCTAGCAGCACTCATTTCTCTGTTGCCACTACCTCCCCTCCTATCTTCCCCACCAAGGCTTTGAGCCTCCACTGATCCTTCCGCTTCTCTGGTCGACGCCAGCTCACCCGCTTCTCCGTCCAATGCAGCAAGGCGTTTCGGCTCTGCTCCCAGTCCCTCCCTCCCTCTTCCCGCCCCGTCTCTGGCTGTTCCCTCGCTTGCTTCTCGACCCGACCTCACTGCTTGTGCCACTGTTGCCTGTGTTTCACTTGAAACTTGCGGCTCTGCGTTGCCTGCTGCAGGTTCTGTCACTCTAGAAGCCGCGGCTAGAGAGGCATCTGTGGTACGAGAGGAGTTAGCGTCGGGAGCATCTGGTGGAGGCGTAACATCAGTCCCAGTCGCATCTGCTCTAGCTGCTGCTGCAGCATCTGCTGCACCTGCTGTTACTGCGATTTCTGGGCCTGCTGCTGCTGCTGCTCTAGCTGCTGCTGCAGCATCTACTTCAGCTGACGCTGCCTCTGCCGCTGCCACCGCTGTTGCCTCTGCTGCAGCTGCTGAAGAGGCTTGCCTCACCAACTCCCCAACCGCTTTCGCCCCCACCACCTCTGACTCCACCACTCTCCCGCTTCCCGCAAACCCCCGTGCCAACACTCCAGGCCCAAACACACTCCCCACATGCCCCACACCGACAACAGCACCCACACTCCCAGCAGCCGAAGTGGGAGCGACCGTAGAGCCATGCACGGCACGGTAGTACTCGTTTGAGGAGATGGCATAGGCGATAAGGGAGGTGGGCTCGTCGTCGTACACTGCTATGATACGCCCGCTGATGCCGGGGGGGAGAAGGACGTGTGCTCGACCCAGGAAGGGCGGAGGGTACTGCATGGGTCAAGGCAGGGGGTGGTGGGGGGGGGAAGGAAGCAGATATGGCAAAGGGCGATGAAAGGGGTGGGCTTATCATGTTCTGCCAACAAGGGACGTGGGCTCGTTGTCAGTCATACACTACTATGATGCGCCCACTGATGCCGAAGGGGAGAAAGACGTTTGCTCGGCCTAAGAAGGGCGGAGGGCACTGTGGGGGCCAAGGGAGGGAAAGGGGCGAGGGAAGGGAGGACAGGAGATGGGGCAAGTGATGAGAGAGGTGGGCTCGTCGTCGGGTACTGCTATCATGCGCCCGCTGATGCTGAGAGGGGGAGCAGGACGTGTGCTCGTCCCAGGAATGCAGGTGGGTACAGTGGGCAGGGGGGTGGGTTGGGGGACGGACGGGGATGGGGAAGGAAGTGGAGACGGGACAAGGGGATGAGCGAGGCGTTTATTTTTGAGGCGCCTCGAAAAACGAACACATGGGCAGAAAGCAAGCAATCACCCATCTGTCGATGTCACAGAACCAGTATATCCCAAGGTGCAAAAATACGGTCGTTTTTTATTTTTTTTGCCGTATTATACGGAATCGTATGATACGGTCGTATAAAACGGTTTAAAACGGTCAAAAGCTGTGTTTTTTGGTTGGTGCAAAAATACGGTCGAAAAATACGACCGTATTTTTCGAACCAACCAATATTTGCATGCTTAGGGCTTGTAACGAAATCGCAATGTGGGTTGGTTGGATCTTGAATATTTGTCAGGTTGAAGTGATGGCTTTTCGCCGAGGCGCGATTCCAACATTTTGTCGAGCCGCCTGATGCCAACATTTGACGAAGAGAGAACGGGCTGTACACCCGTTTCGCCTGTGTCGTTGGGTTGCTTCCCGCCCTGTAGACTCAATTTTCGCGGGCCAAGCGACCTGCCCAAAAATTCGCGTGTCGCAAATTCGAATCGTGACCAATCACACTTGGTCATTTGCGATCCCTACCAACAAGGTCTTTCCACGTCGCTCAAGAATGCAGGTTGGCCACCAGGTACAAACTTGGAGCACTTCCAGAAAGGTGAGCACAGTCTTGTACGCAGCTCACCTCGCACGATCGAATCCACCGCACGATTTTCTCAGCTACTGGCGTTACTGTGTACGCCATGCCTAGGAAGCTATCCGACATTTGGGAGCATGTTAAGAAGGTGAAGGAGCCGACCGGCCTTGTTATTAGCACAGTTTGCATTCATTGTGGCTCTAGTGTCACTCCAAACGCGACCAGGATAGGGCAGCATATCTATGGCACCCCTAGCTCGATGGAGAAGAATGTCTCCACTTGCCCATCGGACTACGCGAAGCAGCTGCGTGAGAGCAACCAAGAAGAACGTTCCACGTCCCCTGACGGCACGCAAGGACGAGCTTCGTCCTCGACGGTGCACTCTGCCCCGCGCTCGCGTCAGCAAGACATTCGCGAGCTAGCTGATGTGGCTGGCCGCCAGCGGTTGGATTATCTTTGGGCGACAGTGGTCGCTGAAAACGACCTCGCGTTTCGGACATCGCAGTCGCCGGCCTTGCAGGCCTTCGTCAACGCGGCAGTCCAGTTTGGGAAACCGTACAAGCTTCCATCCGCGTACAAGGTCAGCGGGCCGCTGCTCGCGAAACTCAAGACCGACACGGAGGAGTTGCTGCAGCCGCTGAAGGACACGTGGAGGACCAGTGGCGTTTCTCTTACCGTCGACGGCTGGTCCTGCCTTAAGAGTCGCGGATTCGTGGGCGTAATCGCTCAGAACGATACGGCACCCGTAGTCGTCGACGTCGTCGACTCCAAAACCGCGAAAAAGACGGGGAGCTACCTCGCGGAGCTTATTCGACGGTCGATCTGCAACGTGGGGGACCGGCTCGTCATCCAGGTGGTCATGGATAACGCCTCCAACAACAAGAAGGCGGGGGCGTTGTTGAAGGAGGGGTACCCGCACATCTTCTACACCAACTGCGCCGCCCATTGCCTCGACTTAATGCTGCACGACATAGGAGCAATCCGCGCCGTGCAGCGCATCCTCGGGCAGGTGCACAGGGTGGTGATGATGGTGAAGAAGTCAGCCTCCGCGGTCACTTTGTTCCGCGAGGTCTTCAGCTCCTTGGAGCTTATGCGCCCGGGAGCTACACATTTCGGGACGCAAGTGCTGATGATCGGGCGCATCCTCGAAGTGAAGAAGGCCCTGCGGGAGATGGTGATCAGCGATGCATGGGAGGAGGTGCTAGTTTCCCGCACGGAGGAGGGGAAAGCAATTCGCAGCCTCCTCCTCGAGGACGTTTTCTGGGAAAGCGTCGCCGTGGTGCTCAAGCTCATGACACCCATCTACGAGGTCCTGAGGCGGGTCGACAAGCGATGTCTCCTCATGGGCCAGATCTATGGCCTCATGCTGGAGGCCACTGTCAAGACCACCGACGCGGCAGAGGCGGCAGGTAAGCCAACCTCTTGCTTGCCCATTTCCCCCCGCGGCGTGCGAGCGGCACTCATGTGTCATTCCCATGGGCGTTCTTAGCTGTACCTAATCTCACCCTCCCTCGGCACGTCTGCTCCCCGTGCAGCCGCCTTCTTTGTCAAGCGGACGGCGTTGCTCGAGGCGAAGGACAAGGCGAGTTTCCTCGTCACGGTGAAGAAGATCATCGCCAACCGCTGGGATGGTCAACTGCACAACCCGCTCCACGCTGCGGGGTGGCTCCTGAATCCCCGCAACCAGTACATGGGGGAGGTGCGGAACGACCCTGAGGTGAGGCAGGGGGCAGAGGAGGTGTTTTTGGCGAGGGGAGGGGATGTACCTCGGCGCACCATGCTCGCGGCTCAGCTGGCAACCTTCCACAAGGGGGAGGGCCGCCTGGGATCCGTGGAGGCCCGTTGGGCAGCGACGGCTCTGGTGGAGAGCGGGCGGCTCTCCGACGCCGAGTGGTGGTGGATGTACGGCGGCGAGGTGGCCGCCTTGCAGGAGCTGGCTGTGATGATCTTGTCACAGCCAGTCACATCCTGCGAGGTTGAGCGCTACTGGTCGGCTCTGGCTCGTGTCCAAACGCGCGACCGCAACAGGCTGAACGCCTCCACCATGACGGACGTGACGTTCGTCGCGTTCGGCAGGCGGGCGCGAACAGCCTTTGACCAGAAGGTCGAGGCTCGAGCTCAGCTGTACGACGACCTCACCAATGGCACTCTGAAGGAGGGTGCCAACATCACCCCACCCCCCCGTGTGGAAGGCGAGGCCAACAAGGAGGTAGAGGAGGAGGGCGGGGAGGTGTGTACCATCGACTGGGATGCCTTTGGCAACATCGGCGGGCGGAAGAAGAAGGCGGCATCCAAGGCTCGGGGCAAGAAGCGGGCCAAGAAGGGTAGGGGGTCCCGTAAGGGGAAGGAGAAAGTGGCCTACGATGAGGAGGAGGAGGAGGAGGAGGAGGAGGAGGAGGAGGAGGAGGAGGAGGAGGATGAGGAAGAGGAGGAGGATGAGGAGGTCGAGGAGGAGGGCGAGGACGAGGAGGAGGGCGAGGGCAGTGGATCAAAGGAGCCTCGCAAGAGGGCCAAGGGGAGCAACCCCTGGGATTGCAGCGATGGTGACAGTGGGGCGGATGAGGAGGACGAGGAGTAGTAGTGTGAGGAGGAGGTCGCGCCACGAGGAGGAGTAGGGGCCGGGGGAGTGGTACGCCGAGGAGGAGGGGGAGGAGGAGTAGGAGGTAGATTAAACGTACCTCTAGTCATGGTAGTTGACCACCTTAGCGTCGTGTCGTCCACCTTAGGCAAGTTGTACCGCACATCCGCAATTTTTGAGTTTTTTTTTTTCGTCGAAAATCCGTCTAATAAAAAAACGGCCGTATTTTTCAAAATACAACCGTATAAAACGAACCGAAAAAAACGACCGTATAATACGAAAACCGTATTCTTCCACCCTGGTATATCCACACACCCACACACGCCCCCACCTCAACGCTAGACATGAGCACTTTAAATCGCATCGCATCGCATCGCATCGCGATTAATCGCGATTTGCGATGGCGATGTATTTTTTTTTTTTTTAATTCATCGCGCGATGCGATGATTTATTTATCGCGCGATTTAATTTAAATCGCATTTAAATCGCAGCGGAAAATCGCGATTTAAACGCGATTTGCGATTTAAATTAAATCGCGCGCGATGTCGAAATACATCGCAGCGCGAAATCTCGCCAGCACATAGGGAAAATTTGCAAAGCCCTCCCCACACCATCCAGCTGGCAGCTGCCCTCCCCCCTTCCCCCCCCCCCCTCCCCCCCCTTTTGAAACCCATGCACCTATTTTTTTTTAAGCTACGAAAGTCGGGCCCTTACCACGGGGCTCGCATTTGTGTGAAACCCACTCTGAACGGTATTTTTAATCGTCAATGCCCGCACCATCACGTGTTCCAGTTTTCAAAAGTTTTTTTTTTTTTTTTTGAAAACGTTTAGAAATGCGATGCGATTTTATATCGCATCGCGCGATTTAATAAATCATCGCTTGCGATTTTTAAATACATCGCAGGCAAAACGCGATGTGCGATGTATTTTTTTCCAAAAAATAAATCGCGCGATGCGATTTAAAATCGCATCGCAAATTAAATCATCGCACCTGCATGCGATGCGATTTAAATCGCAATCGCATTTTGCCCATGTCTACTCAACGCTCAGGCGCAAACACAGAAGCACACATCCTTCACACACACCCCCCTCACACTCAGTCACACACTCACTCTTACCAGCTTGCCAATGGATCCCAGAGGTGGTACACCAGTGGAGGGGCCAGGGAGGGAGAGGAGGGAGGGCGAGCGGGAGAGCGGCGAGGGCATGGTGGTTGCGGCAGGGTGGCTGACAGGGGTGGCTGCAAGCGGCCTGCTGCTGCCTGCTGTGTTGCAGCTGAAGGAACGCACCGGCGCTGCTTCTTCCACTGCTGCTGCTGCTGCTGCTGCTGCTGCTGCTGCTGCATCAGCAGCACCGGCACTGGCATCAGCCACACCAGCAGTGGCACCAGCTGTGGCAGCAGCAGCAGCAGCAGCAGCGGCTGTGGGCGTATCTGGTGCAGGTATAACTGCTGCTGGTGCAGCAGCAGCAGCAGCAGCAGCAGGCGCAGCAGCGGTGGACGACACAGGTGCTGCTTCTGCATCCATTGTCGGCGAATGCACGGCAGCAGTTCCAGAGACAACCACAGATGCAGCAGGAGTTGGTGTTGCTCCCACCGCTGCTGCCTTGAGCGCCGGCCCTGATTCTGCATCCGCCTCGGCGGGACCTGCCATCGGCCCACGGCAGGCGGCTGCTGCAGCCCCTGCTGCTGGCGCTGGCATTGGAGTTGGCGTTTCTACCGCTGCACCCTTGCTGACTGCTGCAGCTGCTGTAGAAATCTCTGCTGCTGGCCCCCCGGAAGCAACCCAGCTCGAGGGTATCGGTGCTCTGGGAGGTAGGCTGGATCGGCGTGAGAGACGTTGAGTACTGGCAGTGGATGGCAGTCCCCCTGCAGCTGACGCTGCTCCTGGGAGTAAAGATAGCGATGGCGTTTCGGTGGACAGCACTGGAGTAAGCGCCTCCTCTTGTCGCTCCTCTCCACCTTCCCTTGCTCCCTTCTCACCTGCCTCCTCTCTCGCTTTATCCACTGCTTCCTCTCTCACATCACCTCCGTTCTCCCTACTTCTCCCCTCCCCATCTTCCCCCACCCCTGCCCTCGCTCCCCTCCATTCCGAGAAGCTACAGCTACCATGGTCTCTCTCCCATCGTGACGAAGACAAAACTGCACCCTGTGCAGTCTCTCTATCCACACTTCCACTGTCCACCCTGTCATCGTCCGCACGCCCACGCTCTACAGCATCACACCCTGCGCTCTCGTGGTCTGTAACCTGCTCAGGCATAGGCTGGGGCTCCGCATCTGCTCCCCCCCCACCCGTGCTCTGCCCCTCTGCGCCTTCCCCATGCGTGCCCCGCCCATGCGTGCCCCACCCATGCGTGCCATGCAGAGTCAGAGACAGGGCTTCCTCCTTCCCCTGCTGCCCTCCGCCTTCCTCCTCATCCCTGCCTGCTGTTCTTATCACTCCACCTGCTGCTGGCGCATCCTCCTCCCTCATCCCATCCTTCTCCAGTGTCTTCTCATCTACCTTCTCATCTGTCGGCTTCTCAAGTTCAACCCCTGCTCTCGCTCCACCCTCCTCCCTGTCTCCCTCCTTGACCTCCAGCAAAGACCCACCACTGGTGACACTGGCGGGCCGGGAGAAAACAGCCGGAATGAGCGAGCCCCATGCGCCTGACAGGGCGCTGCTGAGCCCTGCTGCCATACTTGTTCTTGCTGCTGCAGCTGCTGCTGCTGCTGCTGGCGCAGCTGGTGGTGGTGCTGCTGCTGCCGGCAGCGCTACAGCTGGTGCTACAGCTGGTGCTGTGGCTCCTGCTGGTACTGCTTCAGCTGCAACTGCTGCTGCTGGTAACACCGTTACAATGGCTGCATACGGCGCTGCTACACTTGCAGCTGGTAACACAGCAGAAACGGCTACCGTTGGTAAAAGTGTTGGTATGGCTGCTGGTGAAGCAGTTGGCAAGGCTGGTGGCAAGGCAGCAGGGAATGAGGCCCAGACAGGGAGGTGGCCGACAGACAGAGCACGGGGCACCACTGCTGCTGCTGCCATTCCCACTGCCCAGTCAGCAACTGCTGCTGCATCTGCTGCTGACTCAGCAACCGCCACGTCAGCTGCCACATCAGCTGCTACATCAGCCATCGCATCAGCACCAACCAGCGCAGGAAAACCCGTCGCCTCCGTGGTTGCAGCAGCAGCAGCGACAGCAGTTGCAGCAGCAATTGCAGGCGAGGCAGCAGCACCAGCAGCAACAACTGCTGCTGCAGCAGTGCCTTCTGACTCACATGCATCCGGTGCAGTCATTTTGCTCCTCCTCGCCTCTTCTTCCTCTCTCTCAGCACCACCCCCAGTACCACCCCCAGCAACATCCTCAGCACCATCCCCAGCATTTACATCTGCTGCTGGTCCACTTGTTGTAACAGCCCCATCACTGCAACCGCACTCAACTCCCCCTTCCATCCCCCTGTCCTCCACTCCCTCCTGTCCCATTTCCTCCGCCCCTCTCTTCCCCTCTTTTCCCCCCCCACCCTCAGCCAACACATTCCCAAACCCACTATTCGCATCTTCCTGCTCTTTCTCCCTTCCACTTTTCCCCTCCTCCTTAGCCTCCTCCGTCTCTGAAGTTTTCAGAACCTGCAAATTCGACCCTTCTCTCCCTGTTTCCCGTAACTCCGCTCCCCCACCCTCTGCTTCCCGAACCTCCGATCCCCCATTCTCTGCTTCCCGAACCCCCACTCCCCCACCCTCTGTTTCCCGAACCTCTGCCTCCCAGGCCTTCTTCCGCCGAGCCTCTGCAGTGCGGGCAGCGAGGTCTAGGCTACCGCCAAACAGCCCCAGGGAGTCGTCCTGGCCAAGCAAATCAAGTGATCCCCCCTCAAGTGACCCCCCCTCAGGTGAACCGCCCTCCACCTGCGGCTGCTGCTGCTGCTGTGGCAGCTGTTGAGAGCTGACTTTTGGTGGCGAACCATTGACTGACACCTGTCCTTTAGCAAGTTTACTGCTTTCCCTGCCTCCCAAACCAGCTTCTACACCTGCTTCCGCTGCTGCCGCGTCAGATGATGTTTCTGCTGCTGCTTCAGACAGTGCTGCTGCTGCTCCTGCTGGGGCTTCGAATCCTGTTGCAGGTGCTGCTGTGGCTGCTGCTCTTGGTGTGGCTGGCTGCTTCAGCAGCTGCTGCTGTGGCAATTGCTGCTGTAATGCCAGCTGCTGCTGCTGCAGTTGCTGCAGTGGCGGCGGCTGTTGAATCTCTGCAGCCAATCGGAGCAGGCGCTCAGTCCACTCAGCCGATTGGACAGTCAGGTCTCGCCGCACTCGGTTCAGCTGCAAGATGTCCGTCACGGGCTGCCCGGCGGGCACTTCAAAATTCGGTGCTGCCTGCTGGAGCTTCTTCTGTTGAGCGGGGATTGGAGGGAAGGAAGAGGGGCAGAGAAAGCAAGAAACAACAAGAAGCAGGCCAGAAGCCATTGGGGCATTGCTGTGAACAAGCAAGGCATGTTGAGGTTTGTCAGGGTTTTGGGTTTAAGGATCAGTTCAGACCCTACTCGGTTTGTAGTACCAGTAGCAGCAACAGTCAGTCAGTGAGTCAGTGAGTCAGTGAGTGAGTGAGTGAGTGAGTGTGTCTCAGTGAGTGAGTGAGTGAGTGAGTGTGTCTCAGTGAGTGAGTGAGTGAGTGAGTGAGTGAGTCAGTGAGTCAGTGAGTCGGTCAGTCAGTGAGTCAGCCAGTCAGTGAGTGAGTCAGTCAGTGAGTGAGTGAGTCAGTCAGTGAGTCAGTGAGTCAGTCAGTCAGTGAGTCAGTCAGTGAGTCAGTCAGTGAGTCAGTGAGTCAGTCAGTGAGTCAGTCAGTGAGTCAGTCAGTGAGCCAGTGAGTCAGTGAGTGAGTCAGTGAGTGAGTCAGTCAGCGAGTGAGTCAGTGAGTGAGTGAGTCAGTGAGTGAGTGAGTCAGTGAGTGAGTGAGTGAGTGAGTGAGTGAGTGAGTGAGTCAGTGAGTGAGAGTCAGTGAGTGCGTGAGTCAGTGAGTGCGTGAGTCAGTGAGTGAGTGAGTCAGTGAGTGAGTGAGTCAGTGAGTGAGTGAGTGAGTGAGTCAGTGAGTGAATGAGTGAGTGAGTCAGTGAGTGAGTGAGTCAGTGAGTCAGTGAGTGAGTGAGTGAGTGAGTCAGTGAGTGAGTGAGTCAGTGAGTGAGTGAGTCAGGGAGTGAGTGAGTCAGTGAGTGAGTGAGCCAGTGAGTGAGTGAGCCAGTGAGTGAGTGAGTCAGTGAGTGAGTGAGTCAGTGAGTGAGTGAGTGAGTGAGTCAGTGAGTGAGTGAGTCAGTGAGTGAGTGAGTCAGTCAGTGAGTGAGTGAGTCAGTGAGTGAGTCAGTGAGTGAGGGAGTGAGTCAGTGAGTGAGTCAGTGAGTGAGTGAGTCAGTGAGTGAGTGAGTCAGTGAGTGAGTGAGTCAGTGAGTGAGTGAGTCAGTGAGTGAGTGAGTGAGTCAGTGAGTGAGTGAGTGTGTGCGTGGGTGGGTGGGTGGGTGGGTGAGTGGGTGGGTGAGTGAGTGGGTTGCGTGGGTGGGTGGGTGGGTGAGTGGGTGAGTGGGTGAGTGGATGAGTGGGTGAGTCGGAGAGTCGGTGAGTGGGTGAGTGGGTGAGTGGGTGAGTGGGTGAGTGGGTCGGTCGGTCGGTCGGTCGGTCGGTCGGTTGGTCGGTCGGTCGGTCGGTCGGTGGGTGGGTGGGTGGGTGGGTCGGTCGGTGAGTCGGTCGGTCGGTCAGTCGGTCGGTCCGTCGGTCGGTCCGTCGGTCGGTCGGTCGGTCGGTCGGTCGGTCGGTCGGTCGGTCGGTCGGTCGGTCGGTCGGTCGGTCGGTCGGTCGGTCGGTCGGTCAGTCGGTCGGTCGGTCGATCGGTCGGTCGGTCGGTCGGTCAGTCCGTCAGTCAGTCAGTCCGTCAGTCAGTCAGTCCGCGGGTTTGCGCAACCACTACTCCCCGCAGGCCGCGGACAAGGGCTTGCGCAACCACTACTCCCCGCAGGCCGCGGGTTTTCAAGAGAGGTAAGCCATGCCGCGGAGACTCTCGTCCTGATGCGTGCTTTCGCCATAGGCATCTTTCACAGTCCTAATGATGCCTTCGCTTCCACACTGCTTCCGCCCCTCCCTTCCACAACCCTCAAAAGCCCCAGGGCCCGGCAGTAAGGTACGCGGATGCAGCATCTTCAGATACAATGGTCTGGATGGGAAGGTGTTGGCGTATCCCGCCAAAGACACCAACTTGACTTATCACAGAAAGGCCCCAAGACTGCCCTGGGTGAGATGGACAAAAACAGATGTGTCCGGCTGTGGGCAGCCAACAGATGTGACTGACCACATCTGTTTTTGTCCATCTCACCCAGGGCAGTCTTGGGGCCTTTCTGTGATCAGTCAAGTTGGTGTCTTTGGCGCGATACGCCAACACCTTCCCATCCAGACCATTGTATCTGAAGATGCTGCATCCGCGTACCTTACTGCCGGGCCCTGTGGCTTTTGAGGGTTGTGGGAGGGAGGGGCGGAAGCAGCGTGGAAGCGAAGGCATCATTAGGACTGTGAAAGATGCCTACGGCAAAAGCACGCTTCGGACGAGACTCTCCATGGCATGGCTTACCTCTCTTGAAAACCCGCGGCCTGCGGGGAGTAGTGGTTGCGCAAGCCCTTGCCCCACGAGCTTTGAGGCGCCTCAAAAGTCCCTCCCATGTGCCCCACGAGCTTTGAGGCGCCTCAAAAGTCCATCCATGTGCCCCACGAGCTTTGAGGCGCCTCAAAAGTCCGTCCATGTGCCCCACGAGCTTTGAGGTGCCTCAAAAGTCCCTCCATGTGCCCCACGAGCTTTGAGGCGCCTCAAAAGTCCATCCATGTGCCCCACGAGCTTAGAGGCGCCTCAAAATTCCATCCATGTGCCCCACGAGCTTTGAGGCGCCTCAAAAGTCCATCCATGTGCCCCACGAGCACACACATCTCACCTTACCCCTCGCACCGCCACCTGCACGCACTCACACCCAACCCAATGCTTCGTCATCCCTCTGCAGAGCCGCCCAGGCCAGGCTGTGAGATGCGTTTGAGGATTCTGAAAAACCTATCACACTCTCAAGGCCACGTGCATGCACTCACATCCAAGGCTTCTCAATCTTTCTGCAGAGTCACCCGAGCCAGGCTGTGATAGGTTGTTAAGAATTCCTTAAAAACCCATCACCTCACACTCTCAACGCCACCTGCACTCACATCCAACCCAAGGCTTCTCCATCCCTCTGCAGATTCGCCCGAGCCAGGCCTCCGGGAAGCGGCTGGCAGACAGCCATCCGCCCTGGCCCATTTATACCGACACTCGCTCTCTCCCACTACCAGCGCAGTGCCTGCACTCACATCCAGCGCCTGCTTGTCCCCCTGTAAGGTTGCCTCTAACAGCGCCAGGCTGGCGCGTGCCTCGGGGAAGCGGCTGGCGGACAGCGGCCCGCCCTGTGCCAGGCAGGCTGCGAGGGCGTCGAGGGCGTTCAAGATGTCCATGAAGACCCGCTCCGCCGCCTCCGCGACCTGCAACACGTGGGAGTAACGGAGAGGGCGGGAGAGGGAGAGGAGGAGAGATAGGGGGGTTGAAGTGCTGCACAACCTTCATGCGGCTGCGAGGGCGTCGAGGGCGCTCATGATGTGCATGAAGACCCGCTCCGCTGCCTCCGCTGTCTGGTAGGGTGGGAAGAGGGGAGGGGGAGGGAGGGGGAGGAGAAGAGGTGGGTTGAAGCGCCTCACAACCTGCTTGGGACTGCGAGGGCGTTGATGATGTCCATGAAGACACGCTCCGCTATGCCGGCGACGTGGGAGGGTGTATGGGTGGGATACGGTACGGAGCAAGGGTGGGAAGGGAGAGAGGAGTGTTGAGGTGTTTTGAGACATCTCAAAACTGAGGTGGCACACAACCCTCCTTGCGCCTGCTGAGCTACCAAGCATTCAGGCCGGCGTTCACGTTGGCTCTTGATGCGCATGATGCAGTTGACTCAGCAGTCAATCAAGTCAACCGCAGCAGCGCAACTCACATCGTTCAAGTCCTCCAGGAGCCACTGCTGCTGGTGCTGGTGGTGGCTGAACCCGAGGCGCAAAGGACAGTGAGAGACATACATGTGAGTCAACCTAAGCCAACTGAGTCAACGGAGCCAACTGAGTCAACGGATCCAACTCAGTCAACAGGGCCAACTGAGACAACGGGAGTCAACTGAGACATACAAGGTAACAGGTGAATTGACCGAGTCAACGGAGTCAACTGAGTCAACGCAGTCAACTGCACAACTCACATCGTTGAACTCCTCCAGCAGCCACTGCTGCTGGTGGCGGTTGTTGAACCCAAGACGCAGAGGGGGCAGGCAGACGGAGTAGAGGTGCATGGGCGAGTAGGCGAAGCATGCTATCATCTCGCCACTCCTGCTGGGGAAGGGGGGAGGGGAGGGGTATTGGGGGAACAGGGGAGGTGATGATTCCTGGTGCGAGGCACCAAGGGTCTGCTCAACTCCAGACGCAGAGGGGGCGGGTTTTCTTGGCGCTTCAAAACCCGAGGCGCAGAGGGGGCAGTTCTTTTAGGCGCCTCAACAACGGAGGCGCAGAGGGGGCAGACAAACGGAGCAGGGAGCTGCATGGGCGAATAGGCGAAGCATGGTATCATCCCGTCAATCCAGCTTGCAGGGAGTAGCGAGAGGTATGTTGGGCGAATAGGGAGAGCGAGTGATTCAGGTACGAGGGGATGGCTGAAATCAAGGTGCGGGGAGAGCAGACAGACAGAGCAGAGCGCTGCATGGGCGACTAGGCTAGGCATGCTATCATCCCGCCACTCCTGCTTGGGGGAGGATTGCTTGCAGGTGCCAGGAGGAATACGGGGACTGACCAGCATGTGACGCTGCGACACACCTGCAGAAGCACAGGCAGTCGCAGTGCAGAGAGTGCCCGCCGCAGGCAGCGAGGCACCCCACCATGACGTGGTTGGTGAAGGACAGCTCCAGGAACTAGCTTCCTGTGTGATACAGCTCTCTCCCACCTATAACACCCCCCCCCACACACACACAGAGCACCCGTACTCACCTGTAGAAGCGCAGGCAGTCGCGGTGCAGCGAGTGGCCGCAGGCAGCCAGGCGGCCCACCACGACGTGGTTGGTAAAGGAAAGCTCCAGGAACTTGCCCAGCGACAGCTTGCACGCCGCCTCCGACATGAGCACTCGCCGCGTGGCTGGTGCCACTCCGTCCACCGGGCGGCACTGCCTGCACTTGAGGCATGGGGAGGCAGGGCAAAGGAAAAGATGAGACAGAAAGCATGCACTTGCCTGCAGTGGTGACACATCAGCATGCACATGCCTGCAGCGACACCACGTCAGCAGCATGCACTTGCCTGCAGCGACACCACGTCAGCATGCACTTGCCTGCAGCGGTGCCACGTCAGCATGCACTTGCCTGCAGCGGTGCCACATCCAGATGCATCGGGACACAGCAGGAGCGCAAGAACCCGCCACAGCAGCATATCCACCAGAGCCAGAACCGCCAGAGTCCTGACCGCCACACCCCGTGTCCGCATCCCCCACTGCTGGATTCAAACCCCCTCCCCCACCATACCCCCCTCCTCCCCCTCCGTAAGCTCCTCTCCCCCCTCCCATTCCCCCTCCCCCTCCCCCCCCTCCTGCCCCTGGCAGGAGGTGCGTGGGCGGGAGGATGTCGTCAGCCTTGCGAACGGAGATGGTGAGCGAGCCCTCCTTGTGGGAATAGACGCGCACGTGGTCCTGCGACGGCATGCCACACTTGCAGCGCTGGGAGGGGTGGGAGGATGGGGGGGTGGGGGGGGAGGGAAGTAGGGAGGAGAGGAAGCATGGAGATGGTGAGCGAGCCCTCCTTGTGGGAGTACATGCGCACGTGGTCTTGCGAGGGCATGCGGCACTTGCAGCGCTGGGAGGGGGGATAGGGAGGAAGGGTGACTGGCGGCAGGGGAACAGGGGGGAAGCACGTGCGCCGGCCTTGTGCACCGAGATGTTGAGTGAGCCCTCCTTTTGCGAGTACAGCGCTGGGAGGGGGAGAGGGGGGGAAGTAGGGAGGAGAGGAATCACAGAGATGGTGAGAGAGCCATCCTTGTCGGAATAAACGCACATGTGGTCCTGCAACTGCATGCCGCACTTGCAGCGCTGGGAGGGAAACCCGAAAGGGTGGAGGGAACAGGGGGGGTGGGCAGGAGGGGAGAGGGACAGGAAGGAGGAGAGAGAATGGAGGGGGGTATTGGAGAAGGGAGAGGGAACAGGAGATGAAGATACCTCATTGTGGGATTGTAAAAAAAGCCCAGAGACTATTTTTGAGGCGCCTAAAATATTTTGAGGCGCCTCAAAAACAGGAGATTGAGATGCCTCATAGTGGGATCGTCACAAGGTCCAGAGGCGGCTGGCAGCCCTTGCAGCACTCTCCCACCCACACAACCACACACTACCCTTAAGAACCCTCTCACTTACCCAGAGGGGGTTGAGGACGAACTGCATGAGGAAGTGACCCAGCACAACAGCAACTCAGACGCCTCACACTGCACCTTGCACGAAGCCAGAGAGGGAAAATTCACCCAGAGCGGGTTAAGCACGAACTGCGTCAGGAAGTGCCCCAGGGGCAGCATGTCCCTGTCGCCATAGGACTGGATCCTCATCAGCTCCAGCGCCTCACACAGCAGCTTGCTTGCGGCACGCACAGGGGGAGTTGGAAAGGCTCCTAGAAACTCACCCAGAGCGGGTTGAGCACGAATTGAGTGAGGAAGTGCCCCAGCGGCATGTCCCTGTCCCCATAGTACTTGATCCTCATCAGCTCCGGCGCCTCACACAGCAGCTTGCGCGACACGCAGCGGCTGGATGCCCACACCAGGATGGACTGGTGCTCCGAGGGGGACACGGGTGCCAGGGGGGTCAGGGAGGGGGGAATGGCCAGGGGCTGAGGAGACGGGTCTACTGCTGCTGCTGCTGCTGCAGCTTGTGGGAGTGGTGCACCAGGCCCTGCTTCTGTGGGTGGGGACACGTCCGCCATGGAACCCACCTTGCACTGTGCACCGGTCGTTGCGGCGGCAGCGATAGCAGCAGCAGTCGCAGCAGCAGTCGCAGCAGCAGTGGAGACGGCACTACCAGAAGCACCAGCAGAAGTACATGGGTCCACAGAGTCTGATCCTTCTAGCAGAATCGCAATGCCAACCCCTCCCTGCTGCCGCTGCTGCGGCTGCGGCTGCGGCTGCTGTGGTAGGAGCGGCTGGAGAAACTGCTGTGATTGCATCGTCTGCTGCCTTTGCTCCGTCTGCTGCTGCTGCTGCCCTTGAGCTAATGCTGGTGGACTCCCCTCAGCATTTGGATCCTCTGCACCTGCTGCTGCCGCTGCTGAGCAAGATTCACTCTCTAACAACCCGCCTTGTGCTGCCACGTTTGCTCCACTCTGATCTTCCCCGCCCACACTAGCGTCAACAGCACTCCTGTTAACATCACCCGCTGCTGCACCTCCTGCCGCCTCTCCTGTGCTTTGACCTGATCTTCCTTCTCCTCCTGTTTCCCCAGTCCCTGCCTCCTCCTCTTTTCGCCCCAGCTCTTCACAGGCCCCTGCACCCTCCTTCACACTCACCCCACTCTCTCTCAGGCCCTCCCCACTCTCCCTCACACCCTCTCTCACAGCAGAGACCCCACTGGCCCACAGGGATGCTGACAGCTGTGCAATGCGACGGGGGGACGGCCTGTTGCTGCCAGCGCTGCTGCTACTAACGGGTAAAGATGTGACTATAGCAGAGGGGGGAGCAGGGGTGATACTACCAGCAGATGCAGCAGAGGGGTCGATGGCAGCAGATTCATCCGTGGAAGCCACGTCAGCAGCCATGACGTCAGCAAGCAGATGGGGCTGCACTGCCGGAGCATCACCAGCCAATGGCCGAGCGCCAGCTGGCAGATTCGATCTGACCACAGCGCCTGAAACCTCTGCCTGCCTATCTTGCCCCACACCGTTACCCTCCCAATCTCCAGCCTCCCCTGACCCTCCACCAATCTTTCCTCCTCTACTATTTTCACAGTCGCCTCGATCTCCTTCACCCCCACCCAAACCCGTTTGGCTCATGTTCATGTGAGCACCGGCATTAGAAGGTGGATGGGGGTCTTCTAAAGGCCTGGTTGGTGCTACCGTGGCGGCCACACTACCACCATCTCCACCACCACTGCCACCACAATCAGCAGCAGCAGAGGGGTCAATAACGGTAGGAGGGGGAGCAGCAGTGGGAGTGGAGGTACTAGGAGGAGCAGCAGCAGGGGGAGGAGGCGAAGCAGCACATAGAGGAGGGAAGGGGTCGATGCCGGGGGGCAGGGCGCCCTCGTCGGCAAGGAAGGAGGTCTCAAGGGCGAGGTGGTACGAGGCAAACACCGCAAAGTGCATCACCCGCTTCACGCGCTTCAGCTCCAATGTTGGTGCGCCCATCAGCAGCACCTGGAAGGGGGAACCCAGGGGGGGTGGGGGCAGGGGAGTGGGCAGGAAGGGGGCGGGGAGGGCCGGGGGGGTGGGGGTGGGACTGACCTCAAGGTGCCTCACAGTGCTCCACCTGCTTCACTAGCTGCACCTGCTTCACTAGCTGCACCTGCTTCACTAGCTGCACCTCTGCTGTTGGAAAACGACTACAATGGCTAGCGAGAATGAGAATGACGGTAAGGAAGAAGCAGATTCTGAGCCAGCTCGAACTGATGGCAACGGAGCCAATGATGGCACCGTGCAGCAGAGAGATAGGAGTCTAATTTTGAGGCGCCTCAAAACCGTGCAGCAGAGAGAGGCATGGGGGGGGGCAGGGCAGCCTTCATGCTGTAGCCTGTAGGAGATCTTTGAGAGATTTCAAAACCCACCTTTGACTCCAAATGATGGAAACGAAGCACGCACCGTGCAGCCAAGAGGAATTGGGCAGCCTTCAAGAAACAGCAGGGTCTTCACATTCTTGCGACCACCCAAAGCAGCAGCGGCACTGCCAGCAGCACCACCCGTACCGCTGCCACCAGCAGTACCACCATTGAAACCAGCAGCACTAGACACTGTACCCCTCCCCCTGCCCGCTCTCGCACCTCCTCCCCCCCCTCCCTCCGCCCCCACCCCTCCACCACCCCCGACCGCATCCCACTCCTCCACAAACTTCTTAGTCCAGAACCGCTGGCACTGCCCGAGCCTGTCCAGCGTCTCAGCGGACTGGGCCACCTTGGCCCCGGTGCAGCGCGCTATCCTCTCCAACAAGGACCGCTTCACGTTGAACACGAGCGACATGCGGTGCTCCACCATCCACTGCTGCGCGAAGCCTGACACCGTGCCCTCCACCAGCAGCACACTGCCGCCCAGCTGCCCCCCTGCACTGCCGCCCGGCTGCCCCCCAGTGGCACTGGCAGTAGAAGCAGCAGAGGCCGCTGCGGAGTTTGGGCCGCCACCCCCGCCGC